TTGAGCCACTGAAACTGCATATACTCAGCATGTGGCAAACTTTATGCAGCGTTACCTTTTCAGAAAACATGCTTAATTGAATTATCTGTTACTACAAAAAAACTAAACAACTAAAACTGACAATGACCTTAATGAAACTTGTTTTAATATGTTGAAGAGATATTTCAAGCAAAATTAAAAACTCAAAATTCACTCAATATATACTCACATTTAATTGATTCAATTGATGAAAAAGAAGATATTTTGGAGAAAACTAAAATTTGGTAACTATTTACTTCAAAAGAAGGAAAAACAAATACTACGGGAGTCAATGGTTACCAGTTTAAAGCCTTCATCAAAATATATTTCGTGTTCAGGGGTAAATCAATTTGCAGTTTTGTGTGAACTATCCCTTTAAATATTGTAGTTTTCTTGAGGGCAACACAGATTGCTACCTATTGACATGTCAGCACGCTTGGTCAACATATCAATACTAGGGATCCTCCGATCGACCAGCCAGAGATCAGTATTGGCCGATATTCATATGTAATGACTCGATCAGTACTCGCTGATATGGTCTCAGGAACCAATCACAAACGTTTGTACATACAGCCACTACTGCATACGTTTAGGCCTTTTTACATAAAGAAAAACTGAGAGTTCTGTGTTTTAGACAATATTCCAAGTTCACTAAAACCTGGCGGGAAATGTTAGATGATTTTTTTTACTTTAAAATTAGATTTTTTTACGAGAATATTTAATAATATAACTTCTTGTAATTTATTTATCGTAATAAACAGTAGTTTATAGACTTATTTCCTTTTAGTAAGTAATGGATTTATATGTGTGCGTTTTAACTTCTTATGCATCAAATATGCGCTCCAAACTTTTCCATGATCGAGACGGTGAATTCTTCTTCTTCATTTCTAAATTGCATTCAGTAAATTTTCTTACAATTATTTTTTAATTTATCAGTGCTATCTACTAAGTTCTGTAAAGCTGCTTCTGACCATGACATGCTCACACCTAAATGGTTAAAATAGACATATTATATGCATATTATAAGCATTGTAAAGCTTGAAGCATCGGAATCAGTTCAATGACAAGGTATCAATACTAGGCATGGGACGATAACCGATTTCAAGGTTTACCGCGGTTTGGAAAACTCAAGGTATTCAAACCGCAAAAAATGATTTATGATACCGTTTCTAATGTGTATAGACATGTTTCTTTAAGTGTTGTAAGGAAATCTGTGTTTTTGAAGCTAATGAAGATAGAAGTCAATGGTTTATTTTAATTATGTAGCCCGACATGTGTATTGTTCCAAAATATTATATTTTCCCTAAAATGTAATATATTGTGTTAAATGAGGAAAACATTGCTAGCAAAATTGCAAGTAAAATAACAAAATAATATTACAAAATAAATAAATAAGAAACAGCTATTTCTTAGCCGCATATTTGAAATAATGTGTCAAAAATAATGTCTGTGAATCTAGAATTTAAATATTTTAAAATGTTAAAATATTTAGCAGTAAAATACCGCAGTATGGGAAATGTGTAGGTATTTTAATGCAAACCAAAAGGTGGCAAACTTAACAGTGACAGAAAACTATGCAAAAAACCACTTCATTTTTTTCGTTGTGTTTGTACCCATTTAAATATCGATTTACACAACGTTAGAAACAGATGTTTTTTTTTTTGCCTCATAATTTGATGTTGCCTTCTCTTCACTGAACTGGATTTTACCACGTTGTGGAAAAAAATAATGTGCTTACAACATCCAATCAGATAAAAGGAACCAAAAAGCAATATGGTGTTCACGACTTCACAGAAAAGGTAGCATTCAAAGACTGTATTTGCACATAATTGACAAATAGTCGCAGGCAACTGAAAATTTTGTTACACGGCAGCACTGGCCTGATCGGGCCAGCGACGGTTCTTTCTACTGTCCCAAACATCTCTCACCCTGGCCCATCGGACAGTCCTTATTGTTGAGCCCTGATATATATATTTGAATGGTCTTAATGGTGCTTACATCAAACAGAAAATGCCACAAAAAAACTTATAAAACTAAAAACTAAATTCCCCTAACAAAATAATTCAAACTTACTTGTTGACATATCATCGACGTCTCAAAATGCCTAGAGCACACTTTGTAGTTTTTGTGTAAATCCTCAGGTGTTTTGGTCTGCAGATCAGGCCTGTTGCATCTACCCACCCATTGCCTGCATCTGAAGATGTAAAATAAAGTTACTGCAGTGCAAATATGATGCTTCACTAATAGATTAAACAGCAACCAAAAAAATATAACAACAAGATTAAAACAAAGCATAAGCGTTTTATAAGCATCACAACTGCACCTCTGTCACAAAAAAAAACCCACAAGAAGAAACCACAAACAAACACACAATAAAACGTATTCTGAGGGAATTCAATTCCTGCCATTTTGGGAAAGGCCTGATGATGGCGAACGTGTACAGGAGTCATTTGCTTACAGTAACCCCATAAAAGTTGCAGCAATCACTTAGAAGAAACAAAAGGCTATTTCACAACAGTCGACACAAAATTAATCTTCGCAAAAATCATTACATAACTAGATTAACCAAAATAACAAGGGGAGAATTAGCTGAGAAAAAGGGTACCATGCATTCAATGAATCATTGTAAAAAGGGGGCAGAAGCTAACCAGCTAACATATAATGCTAATTTGCTCAGTCTGCGCACAAACGAAAATCCACACAGGAAAAAATAACATGTATTGAATTGCAATTGTTTTTACGCCACAAAAGTCTGCACTCACCGATCTGGATCCAGCGGGAACTCGAAGAAGGAAACACTGGACTGGTCCGTGCTCTGCTTGCAGTTTGCTGCGGCACAGCAGTCGGGCATTTTGGACTTAATCAAAATGAATATTGCATTGCATGAATCCTCCGGCGCAAAAGGAGAGGCTTTGACAGTAAAAAGCGCGCGTGCGCGTCTTTGTAGATTTCAGACAATCGAGCGTTATTTCCAAACGTCGCGTGCTTTCTGCTGTAACTTGCTCATGGCCGAAATGTTGCTACTTTCACACAGAATCAACAACCAGGAAGAACACCTATGTAGAGCGGAAATGGACTAAACCGAGGACGGATCCCCCCAAAATAACGTTATCACCGTCATTCGTTCCCCTTCTCGCGTGCTTTCACAAAATAAGTCATAAATGCTGCACAACTGTTATATTATCATGAAGAGAAATCACAAACAAAGACTCAAAAACACATTTCTTTCTTTTCTCCACGAGGCGCCAAGGTTTTTTTGTAACCCACGTGAACATTCGAAGTCACACCCATTTAATAACGCTGTTAATACTTTTAAGTCGCAATTATTTTATAGGTGTAAATATGCATGCATCAATTAGTTTAACCCATTAAATACCATATTAACATTTGACTGAATGGTGTTATTTAAGTGATATTGGCAAAATTGTGTTTTACATGTCAGACTGTGTATATAGCATAGATTAATACATACTATAATTTCTTATATCTCACTTTTACGTCATTACTTACCTTGAGTTCCCATACAATGAAATGTTGACAACGACTTCGTTTATTTTCTCATCCTTCTTTATATTATGATTAATGTGAATAGGGTTTATGTACAGTGCTCAGCATAATTGAGTACACCCCGTTTTGAAAATAAATATACATAAGATTTATTAAACATATATTTAATATAGTTATATAAAATATTATTTTAGTCACCAAACATATTTTAAAATTGAAAGATAATACAATTCAAATCAAGTAAAATATTGCCAAAAAAAAAATTATATATATATATACAACCTTCAAAATGTCAACTATTTTTTTTTTTGCTTCTCTTGATTTTTTCTCTTTTTAAAAATTGTATTTAATATTTTACTATAACATAAATTTGGTGTACTAGTTTTTAGGCCATTATTGTAAAATATTTTGTTATATTAGCTCCAGATTTGGCTTCAATACTGACAAATCTATTGTACATACATAAATATAAATTTTTATAGCTTCCTATAGAAAATATTAATTTAAATGATAGATTTGTGGGGGTGTCCTTATATATGCTGAGCACTGTATATGTATTACAAATATAAACACTTAATAAACAGTGGAGCTTGACTTATGGACATATTCAGTTCAAGACATCCAATCCTAATTTTCACAGAGGGATTACTTATTTATGCAGGTCACTGTACATATGTATGTATGCAGACATGTATGTGTGTGTATTTTATAAACGATGTTAACATTTTAAAAGGATTATACTACCCATGGCTACCTACTGTAATATCAGGCAAAAAATATTAACTATTTTAAAGCATGCAATTGTTTAGGGTTACAATTCATATTGCTTTGTGCTGACTCACCTGTGGTAAATGAAGGAATAAAGTCAATAGTGTTTTGGTTCTACAACTGAAGTCCCGGAAGTAGTTAATAATCTACAAGTAAAATTTTTAATTCAATATTAATATTCATATACAAGACTATGTGCCATAATTTTAAAACGCCAATGCGTTATAACCTGTACATTTCACTCATTTTCTTTTCGGCTTAGTCTCTTTATTAATCTGGGGTCGCCACAGCAGAATGAACCACCAAATTATCCAGCCTATGTTTTACGCAGCGGATGCCCTTCCAGCTGCAACCCATCACTGGGAAACACCTTACACTCTCATTCACGCACATACACTACGGACAATTTAGCCTACCCAATTCACCTATAGCGCATGTCTTTGAACGGTGGGGGAGACACAGGGAGAACATGCAAACTCTACACAGAAATGCCAATTGACACAGCTGAGGCTTGAATCAGCAACCTTCTTGCTGGGAGGCAACAGCGCTACCCTCTGTGCCACTGCGTCGCCCACCAAAGAAATGCATAAACTATTGATGCAATGGCACTTTGAACACGTGTTATTATTTACTTGACAGTTAAAAACAAAACCAAATATAATTTAATATCAAATTATACCAGGAAATTGTACAAGCAAACAAAAAGGTTTACCCTTATCAGAAAGGTATTTAATTCTGAAAAACAGCTTTAACAATTTCAACACATTTATGGAACTGGACAGGAGAAGATCATTTTCAATGTGTTCAAATCAATTCAGACTGGGAGTCCACTTTTATATACACAGTGGGAGTAGAACAATAGGAAAAGTCCTGGTAATCTTGGATGACTGTACATAAAAAGCAAAGATAACAAAATGATGCGAAAACTACAAACTGCTCTTTGACTAGCAGAGTCATCGTACTGCTATATTTAAGACTGCACTGCTTCCTGTGATGAATCCTGTTTCTCTGTTGGCTCACTTTCTTGATACATTTTCAAGTAGGTCTCAACCATGCTGTCCAAATCATGCTTAATGGCACAGTTAATATAGAACAGGGCCATACTCTTGTTTCTGTGATTCACAGGTGTATCTTGCAGGTACGCCATCAGTCGCTGTTTTGCAGTGCTGCATTTGTCATTTGTCAGAGCGAAGAGTGGCAGATTGTACAGAACTTTCAGTAGAGCACAAACGTTGGGAAAGAACTTCACATCGGACAGCTGAAGCGTCTCGTAGATGGTCGATGGCAAAATCACATCTTTGGTTCCATGTTTCCATTTGATCTTCCAGCAGTGCAGCTCAGCAGGAAAGGTGTCTGGGTTCAGCAGGTCATCTTTGTAAATGTCCACGCTGGTCTCCTCTGTGGTGTTGAACTTCAGCTGTCCCATGATGGCAGGGACAAGAGACAAGGACTTCAAGGCCTTCAGATGATTTTCAGAGAACAGGTCAGACAGCTCCTTGATCACATGGCTGACCACAGGGATGGTTACTTGGTCTTTGTAGTAGGTCTCAGGTTGGATTTCCTCACCAGACGTTGGTCGTTTTCTGAAGTACAGCCTTGGTACTTTTACTGGGATTTCAAGAGATGCGGCCAGATTTACAGCCTCTTCGAACCAGAACTCATGGTAGACCTCGATATTCTCATAAACTTCATTCAGTGAATGCAGAACTGCGGTTAGACTGCCAGAAGCGAAGAAGACCTCATTGGTTTCCCCTTGCAGATTCTTGCCAAAGGCTCTGGTGAAGGAAAGGGTGTTTTTCAACACCACTAATGTCATGACGTATTCAAAATCAGCCAATGCCTCGGAAATGACAAAAGCATTGTGCGCCACTTCATCGCTCCATTTGTGATCTTCATTATCATGCACGCTGTCCATACACAGCAGGAGAGACTCCAAGAGGTCAACCGCCAATTCAAAGGTATCGTGTTGCTCTGTCCATTTAGAGCCGCACGCCTCCTTAAGGACATTAGCCTTCTCTTCATTTCCCTGGTAGTAGATCGAAATAGCACTTTCCAGCTGATTTTGCAACAAGGGCGATTTGCTGAAAAATGCATCCAGCTTTTTCAGGGTAGACATGACGAGATGCACTCCGGTGAACGTCATTGTGTTTGCCAGGCAGATGTTTAGGGAGCAACTGGAGCAAGGAGTGAGAACTGCGAGCGGATGCAGCTCAGCTATTTTTGCCACCATCGCTTTGACCTTCATAGCGGACACCCCAGAACACAAATATGCCTGTCCTCTGCAATACTTCATGTCCAGGCCACATTTCTCAGTCAGTTCAGTCACAAGCCTCTCTGTGATGGCCTCCACGTCGCCTTCAAAGAGCAGGAAGTCGACAAACTCTTCCCGGAGACAGTTGGCCTTGTCCACAAAACGTACAAATAACGGGACATAGTTTTCTCCTTCTATCTCAACCAGGTTATCTACAACTAAAGAGAAGCAGCGTCCTTCTTTAGCTTCAGCCAACAGCTCTTCACGAATGCACTTTTCAATCACTTCTAAGATCTGTTGTAACTGGGTAGAGGAGCAATGCTCGAGGTTTACAGGTGACCCCTCAAACTTCTTTCTGAGGAATTCGTCACCTGCATTGATGCGGTACTCCAGCAGAGCCTGAAAGTTGCTAGGAGTGAAGCTTTTGCTTCTGGGTTCTTTGTCAGAGTGGCCGTGCAGAGGAATGTTCTGGGTGCCCATCATCACAACAACATCAAACAGAGACTTGAGATACTCTTTATTCAGCGTCTCTTCATCAATGACCGGAGGGCTGCTGTCAACCCCATCGCCATTTTTGTTCTCATTCACATCTTTGGTGGCGGCTTCACTATTATCTTTAGGTTCCTCACTTTGAGAGTCCGCTGGGAACATAAAATGAAGTAAATTGAGAAATATTTTTTTGTGGAATACATGTAAATATGTGTATATTCAGCTTTATCACAGTATTACCACCTTAAAATTATAATAATTTCTAACATTTTATTCAAAACACTGAGGGTAAAACTGGAAGCATTTTGGCAATTCATTCACAACGTTTTGAGGCCTGAAAATACAAATTTTAGATAATAGGCTTTAAAATTCAAGTTTTTGGGGAAAAAAGTATATAATCTGTGTAAACTATAAAAAAAAAAACATGACCAGTTTGTGTGAAAACAATGATATCATAGGCAGTCTTATTAAGTGATCTGATCAGGTTTAGTCACCACAGTATCTCAAGATACATGGGTAACCTTATTTTTTAATTGTCTATTATTATTATTATTATTATTATTACTAATTTCTTTAAATGAACATTTAAAAATTTATATATGAATAAGCTTTAATATATAAAGCCTTTAAAATGGCTGTTTTGAGCTGTTTGTGAACCTACATTAATAAAATGAATGATTGATTTGCAATTAAATACTTTTTTCTTTACATTGCCTTCTCAAACTTTCACTGCATCAACAGCATTTATTTTGGCTTTGCATTTGTGTTTTATAATTATATTTCTGAAAATGATAAGAGATAATAATATTGAAATAATAAGGACAGTTAACCTTGAGTTTACAGAGGTTATTAATCAAGCATTGTGAAACTATCTGACCTGATCTTAACCAGTATCCATTTCTTTGGATTTGTCAACCTAAAATGTATTCTACAACCTGGAGAACATTCAACAAGTTTTGTGCAACAGGCCTCAGGCATGTAATGTCCATTTCTCAGATCTGTGTGAATAGAGATTGTTTTGCCAAAAATATCATCTGTATATCAAATGCAACATTTTCTGTTATCAAGTACATGTGCAAACACTCCAAACAAAAGAGGTATGTTAATATGTTAGAAAAAACAATACTGTAATAGCTAGATCTTTCTTGATCGTAACAGAATTAACAAAACAAGAGAAAAAAACTCACATTTATTTTTCTTCGCTTCAGGGGCATCCTTGTCTGCCTGTTAACAATATACAGAGCTCTTAAGTAAACCACTCACATTCAGTATTTACACTCAACTGATTTTTACATTCACATGAAATGAGTCAGCTATAATATAGTAACCTTAGTTGTGTAAAGGCAAGACTCATAAATTAATAGGTTAAAGATGAGACAAATTTGGTGCCCTAACCAAATACATTTATAAACCTGATTTCATATAAATAGGAACGTTAAATTTAAGTAAAGCGTCTACTTCAATGTTTTGTAAAAACTTAAAAATATAAAACAAGAAAATAAAACAAATTAAAAAGAAATTTCCCATAGACTTTCTGCATTATACAACATACTTAGTACATGTAAAACTTGTTAATGTAAAAATATGTAAAATAATTATTGATTGTGCTAAAATGTATTATATTTTTAACAATCAAAAACATCTTGCTCACAAATGATTATAACCAAGTTGTTGTTTTTTTAAATAGTGACAAGAAAACGATTAACAATTACAATTAATTAGCATTTTATGGATAAAGAAAGTATTTTAATTCGTCAGTGTTGAATTCTTCTTGTAAACATACAAAGAATGTGTCTAAACTTAATTTTACACTAAATGAAATATGTATATAGTAAAATGCATTAAAACACAAAACACTAAATTTCACACAAAGACCTTTGAACAGAGCAGCTCTTACCTCATTATTTGACCGCTTAAAAGGATTGTCAAATATAGTTGGTACAGCACTATCCTTCAGAACAGTCCTGAAAGGGCTCTAGAAAAAAAAAAAAAATCACAATGTGCAGTGTAATTTAAAGAAGGAAAGCTGTGGCATCCAGCAGTTTAACAATTTTTAAACAATATTGGCCTTAATAATATTTGACAATTCACACTTTCTATCAGTTCCCAAATATTGTGTTCAATGTTAACTATGTTATTCCACTCCACAAAAAAAGATATTGAGGTAAAGTTGGTTTCATATTCACCCATTTGTTCAGTGAAAACTTGTGACACGCTCCCTATATTGTTTCCCATGGTACTTTGAATATTAGGTCTAATATTACAGGTGAGTTTGATTCAAAACAACATCAGCACGATTTATTTGACTATGAACAATGTTGTACTCTGCTAGTCTTTGGCTGCTAACATGATTTCACCATTTAGAATCTTCTGAAATTATATTATTAAGGAGAAAGCCTAAATGTGTGACAATAAAACCAACTTTACCCCCATAAAAAAGATAAACAACTTACAGTTTTGGTTATCAAGTTAGGCTCAAAGTGTCTGGCACACAGTCTGTGGTACTTGTTCAGATGATCCGGTGTTTTGTCTTTCAGGTCTGAGCGACTGCAGTTTTCCACCCATTTCTTACATCTAGGAAATAAACAATCCACATGTATTATGTGCAGTGATATTGAGGTGCAGCAATAAAGTATAGCTCATATTTCGGTAACACTTTATTTTGATGGTCCCAATTGCATATTCTGTTGACTAGACATTCCATTCCAACTACACGCCGATTACTTCTCACCATTTGTCTCATTTGAGTGTTAGTAGACTGTCTGCTTAATATCTGCTGATTCTGCTCCTTCAACAGACATTTAACTGACTATAAGAAACTTTGCAAGTAAATGTCAACTTACACTAACCCCAACCTAACAGTCTGGCAAGAATCTATTGAGAATTAGATGGCATGTAGATGCAATGTCACCTAAAATTCAACAAAATGCATTAAAGGGACCATCAAAATAAAGTGATCCTCATATATTTAATGTCATGTTTTTCCTCTAAAGCACAGTTGACTTTGTCTGGTTGCAAATAAATAATGTCTACAATAGGATCAAGAAAGTTCACATCCATGTCACACCATACAGTCAATCAGTACAGTACTGTTACGGCTAGTTTGGCTAACATTTACACTTTCTTATCTTAACTTACATTAACATCCCAAAGTAGCGTACAATCAGACTGCTTAATAAACAACTCCTTAAAGCTTCTACAAAATACTTAAATTGTATAGAGAATAACCTTAAGATGTGACAGACTCGCTCAACTTTACATCTAATCTGTCTGTCAGCAAGCTAACTCATAGCGCCGTGCACGGACTCTGCGCTGGTAAACAAAAACAGATTAAATGCAGTTTAAACGCAAAAATATATGGTCTGGTTAACAAAGAGTAACTTAGCTGATGTACACATGTACAAATTTACCTCTCCGGGTCCCGTGGAAACCTGAAGAACGCCAGCACCGAGTGAGTGCTGTTCCTGGAGCAGTTGAGCGCCGCGCAGAAATTAGGCATCGTGCGTCCACCCGGAGTCGAATCTTAAAAGCGAATCTAGTTCATTGGATTAACAGTGATGTTATTTTGGACAGAAAGTTTAAAAAAGATAGTTTTGAAGACTAATAAAGCAGTAAATTGATAGGCACTCTAGTGCTTTGTGTGGCCTGGAGGAGAAGCGCGTTGGAGTCGGTCTCTGTCCCACAATGCTTTGCTCGAGCATGGCGAGTTCAAAATCCCAGCCAATCAGCGCACGCCTACTGGATGAAATTGGCGGCAGTCATGGAGGAGCGGGTTTAAACGTGGAAACTATTTGCCTGAGGAAATTTAAAAAGTAACATTTAACGAATAAACATTAAAATAAGCTGAATTAGTTTATCACGTAACTTTATAATCTTCAGTTTACCGTCTAACTTACCAATGTTATGAATTTAATCTTATTCTATGGTTTAAAAGCAAAAATATTTATCCTGCTAAACATTTAATTTTTAAGTTACATAAGTATCAAGAAATCAATTTCATTTTATGAATCTAAAACAAATAAACTCTATAATATATGCAATAAACACAGTTCTGTTATATTAATGACGACGTTGAAGACATTGAACTGAAATAATCTTTATTAAAATGCCTTATATTGCAGTGATCAACATGGTTAAAAAAAATGAATGCTCATCTTGCCTTTAAAAAGACATGGTCAGAAATGAGGGATGAATTATATCCTCAGGGAACATTTCAAAAAGTTTTGTGAATTAAAAATGACTGTTTAGAAAACAAACAAGTTTAAAAAGCAAGAAAATGAACAGCAGAACAATAACATTTGCAGTACTGGAAGTATCTTGGAGAAAAACAAATGCAAGTTAAGAAAAGGGAAATTTTTTTTGGTTTGTTAAATTCGATACTTGCCAAAACAAATCTTACTTTTTACAATTTTTTCATCTTCCACATTTATAAAATGAACAAAGCAGTTATAATAAAGTGGTACAAGGCACAGAAATAGCTTTTCATATATATACACACACACACAAACATAAGCCTTATGCAAGCACAGAAGATGCTGACAGAAGTGCCTAAAGTCATATTGTCAAGCAGACATTAAGATATTACTCTATGTAGTAGCAGCACAATGCAAACAGTTAAATATTAAATTATTTTTTAGTGTCACAAAGAATACCTTAAAATGCAGCCATTACATAAGCTATAAATGTGCAATTTCAAAGAGACTCATTTTGTTTAACTGCATACTTTTGCCAAGTCTCCAGGGTGATTAGGCAAGTCTTCCAGTAGTGCTGGGTTTTTTCTGTAGATGTAAGCATTCGCATCGGCATCTTCCATCTGTACCAGCTCAGCCAACGAGGAGACGCAAGTGTCGTGATCGTTCAGCATACCTGGCAGACGAGAGGACTTGCGTTGGATTCTTGTTGATCGTCGAACCGGTGTCAGAAACTTGAGGTCTTTAATGGTGCTTTTGCGTCGAGAGCCACTGCCTGGTGCCTCCTCGCATTCGATTCTCTTTTTTACACTAATAGGACAAGACAAGGAAACATTCGTTTACACCCAACAGTAGTCTTCTCAAAAAAAAAAAAATAATAATAATAATCTTCTAAAAAGGAGTGTAAGTCTTGAAAAAGAAATTTGAAAATATATCATGTTAGAGAAAACTTTGAGTAAACTAACAATTTAATAATAATAACAACAACAACAAATCCTTTTTGAGCATACTGAAGCCCACATTACAACTATAAAGTTAATGCCACAGATAAACAATTTAATTGGGATTCCATTCAGATGTTTTTATTTAGGTTATGAACAATATAAAAACATTGATATCCAATCAAAATGTATTTAACTTTAAAGTGATTAAGCATTTAAAGTAACAGAAGGGATACGAGCACTTTATAATAAAAAAAATTTTTTGCTTTATTGGTGTGGACTAGGCCTGCACAACTGAAGTGAAACCAAAATGTGCACATCATTTAAATGATCATATCGAATTTAAATGATTCTGACAAGCATTTGTTATGTTATTTTCTCTTTCATAGTGAACACAAAGTGCTGTGCATGAGAATAACTGGGTTTACTGGGTCAGTACATATACTGTAGTCTATATAATGTTGAATATAATGCAAGAGGGAATCTGATATTGATAAATGTTTCATTTTACCAATTAAAAAATGGTCTAATAATGTTGTCAATGACAGATTGCAAGCATATGTCTCATATTAACATAACTCAACTTTATAATAATAAATAGTTGTATTCTGATGTCATCACTTTATTGGCGTTAACAATCAAGAGAACCTAAAGTAGTCAAGTCTGCACCATTCCATGTCTATACAAAATGTAGCATTTTAACCAGCAGTAGACCTAAACATAGGACTATTACTATTATTGTTGTTTTGGCATATGTTAAAAAATAAATAAATAAAATAATAATATAACAGCCTACACATATTAACCTTTATTTTACATCGACAGAATCGTGATCTTGATGTTAAGCAAAAAATATTTACAAATAAATGTATTTGTGTACATGGTTGAATTTCCTCAAACTCACCTTTGCAGATAAGGAGTAGTTTTTACATTGTATTTCACAATGGATGCTCCTTCCGTCTCTGGAGTGGTACACCTCATCTCCTCGCCATCATCATCTTCACTATCAAATAGTTTCTTCTCCTGAGGTTCCAGATCATCCTCATTCTTTATGTCAGCCTTTTTAATGTCATCAGTAATGTCTTCCTCATCCCCAAGTTCTTCCTCTTCTAGAATTTCAAACACTCTATCTGTTGTGTGCTCCTCTACTTGCATTTCCATTCTTTTATCTGCCGGTGCATCACATTCGTCAGCATTCATAGCTATAAAGAATGGGTAAGAGAAAAATAAAGAAATGTATTAAAACCACAACACAGGTAATAATACTAATGCATAAAGATACTGAATGAGACGCACCATCCTCACAAGATGAGGGTGTTTCCATCGCCTCCAGTTTATCACACAAGTTCATCACCAGCTGCAAAACAGAAATTCACATTGTATAAATCGCTGTATAAACATGCGTTATTCCTTTTTCACCAAGGCAGTTTGCTGGTTCGGAGCAAGAGACTAGTTCCATACTATTCATTTTTCTTTCGACACTGAAAGCATCCAATAGTATCTGGATGTGCAAGTTGAGACTGCACATCTCAGACTTACAATGTTAGACAAAATGCACCTAATATAGCTAGTGACATCATTGTGAGGGGTGGAGGTGGGGTTAGATGTGCGCATTAAAAACATTGCATGCAGTGGCACAGTCTGCATCCAGAAGCATCAGCTCTGAACCAGAAAAAAATGGTTCTTAAGTAGCACCAAAATAATGCTGGGCTAGAAGTAAAAAAAAAAAAAATGCTTGAATCAGAGCTTTAAGCATGATTACTGGTGACCAATGAGACTAACAGAAACGATTTTGAGTCCCATTTGTGAAATAGCAGCTGAAAACAATCCTAAAAACATTGTTATTACTTGTAATTTACAACTATACAAACTAAGGCATGCTGCACAAACATGTTGATTCACAATATTTGGCTACAGATCGAAAATTCACAAAGCTACTACCATTATTAGCAACTAAACACTGATGGTGTGTTTTAATTCGGGGGTTTCTGTGCATTGTTGGGAAAGATGAGATTATACAATGTCTGATATGGATCTACGGTGGCGCTCTAGCTTTTGGAAAAGCAAAGTGGTTCTAAAAAGACTTCACTGGTGGACTAGCTCCAATTTGGCAAAAGAACTTGATATAAACTAGCACCCGGTTCATGCTGGTGGAAAAGGTGTATATGCGTATGTGTGCCTCATAAATAAGTCTATTTCATGGTTCTTACCGACTCCATTCTTATCTCTGGGTCAACTGGCAGATCCATGTCACTATTGTCCAGCAAGTCTAATGTAGTATTCATAATATTGCTTGATTCACTTGTATTCACTGGTTTTGTGCCAGGGACTTTATCAGTTTGGTTGCTGGTCTTCAATGCAGGGGCTGGTTTTACAGGCTCTGTCTTCTGCATGACAGGCTTCGATTGGGCACAGGTAGTAGCTTTGGGTCCAGGTTTAGGCTGTGGAGCTGGTTTCCGTGAAAGCACAGCTGAGTTGTCTGAGATCGGAGGTCTCTTTAGAGACTTTCCTTTAGAAGCCAGCCACTCTGCAAGCTTTGCTCTGAAAGGAGAGTAGAAATTAAAATCTAGATATCCTCTGCTATAACCATACTGTCCCATTGTTTAAACTGCTCCTTATGCTTAATTCTTGCATTGTTCAAAACATTTTTAATTTGACATTTTTGAGAAAGTCTGCATACATTGGTGCATTTTCATAATATTGCTATCAACTAATATTGAAAAACATTTCTGTGCATTTAAGTTATACCAACACTACAACTGCATATTTGGTGGCCTGACAACAAGATCTAGAGTGCAAGATTTTGAAAATAATACCCTCATCTGTAAACTGTGACATCAACCATATTACATATTCAGCCTATATGTAAACAAAAGTTCTTGATCACTGTGTGGAGCTTCTTTCCCAAGAGCCTGGTGAAAAAAGTTCTCTCAAAAAGTGGTCCTTTTTGCAGTAAACGCCTTATTTTCAGTTTAATTATTTACAGTTTGATACCTAAATACTGCATTTTAGTGGGATTTTAAGCACAAATTTTAGCTGAAATAGCTTATCTGATAGTCATCATAACCACACTTTTTGATGTACCAAAAATATTGCCTAAAGAATAAAGAAATATGAAAAAAATTCAAATGCATTACATAATTTATCATTAGGAAAAAAAAAAAATTGGGATTTGGAAAAATTTCAGGAAGTTTTAAATTAAAAACCATGACCTACTGTCATAGGCATGGGACGATAACTGGTGTCAAGGTTTACCACGGCTTGGAAAAGTCAAGGTTTTAATAAGAAAAAAATGCTCTGTTATACCGTTCCCAAGGTATATGCATATGCAGGTTTTTTTATGTATTTTTTGTGTAGTAAAGAAATCTTATACCAGCACATGCCTAGTCCTTTATTAGGCAAGTAACAAACTGGCACATTAACTT